CCTTGGTTCCTGGTTTGGGTGTTTAACGTGAGCTTGGGGGGGAGTTTCTATGTGTTTAATGCTTTGAATTAAGTGTTAAATTTATGTAAGTGTCCTTTTGGTATTCCCCCTTTCATACCTATAAATATGAGGGGTTATTAATGTTTTAAAAAGTGAATGAATGTGATTTTTGGAAAAGTTTAACTGCGGGTTGGCTTTTGAAAATCCTGCGGGCTCTTCCAACCTTTCTTTCTCATCCCTCCGGAAATCTCTGCGGCTCTTTCACCCTTTTCTTCTCGGAGCTTCTATACTTTCTTTCGTCCTCTCCGCAAGTGATCACTCCACCTGTATCTTCTTTCTCCAAGTGCAGCAACTTTAGGGTGTCTTGAGATCGAGTCGAGTTTGGTTAATTTTAATTTCTTTTTATTTCTTATTTGAAAGGTAAGGTTTGTTCGTCCCTCCTACTCATTTTAGTCATTTTCGTGGCGTAGAATCCGTCGTATCCCCCCAAGCTCACGGTTAAACACCCAAACCAGGAACCAAGGAGACAGCCACGGGAGACGAGGGGAACCGCACGGACTGAGAGCCACGGCCACGGGAAACGAAGGAACCGCACGGACCAAAGAGCCATGGCCATGGGAGAAGAAGCCCAGCCGTGAAATCCCAAGAGGCACACACGAAAAAACAAAAAGTCATGGTGGAATTCAAGGAGCCACCATGGAAAAAGCAAATCTTGGAATTCCAAAAGCCGGTTTGGAATTCTAAGAGACAAACATTAAAACAAACATAAAAAGCATAAAATTACATTAATTAAAAGATAATAAATGAACTAAAATGTTAGCTCATAATGAGCTAACCCTTAGTTCAATAAATGAACTAAAATCCAGCTCATAAATAAACTAAAAGTTTAGCTCAAATATGATGAACTACTAGACTCAAGGGAAGTCAAAATATGATTTATTTTGGACAAGTGTTGACCCCCCCCTTGTCTACATCAACCATCATCAGTAAACTATTGCCCAATGAAATGCAGAGTTGGTCCTCACATTCTAACAATGGTTAAACTATGCAAATGAGACATTAGGTCATTAAATAACAAGAAAAAAAATGTAAAACAGCAATTTGATCAAATTCAAAGAATCGCATGAAAAGTAATTGGACTTTCCAAGTAAAATAGCAACTCCTAACCAGGCAAAGTTTCTGCAACTATTGTTGGTCCTCACATTCTAACAATGGTTAAACTATGCAAATGAGACATTAGGTCATTAAATAACAAGAAAAAAAATGTAAAACAGCAATTTGATCAAATTCAAAGAATCGCATGAAAAGTAATTGGACTTTCCAAGTAAAATAGCAACTCCTAACCAGGCAAAGTTTCTGCAACTATTGGTAATGACCAGATTTTATTTACACAAAATTCTGTTGAGACAGGCATAATCCGCCAAAATTGAGTTCATTCCAACTAGAATTTTGAATAGGCAAAAGAAAAAAAATTAAGACATGAATCCAACATAAGATTGCTACAAGTGCTTTTTGGCCAACACATTTTTCTACCATATCTGGTAACTCCAAGAAATTACAACAAATAATAGCAAAGTGTGATGTCCAGTCCATCAAATTTGCAATTCAAGGAAAGCCAATCCAAATTAGTCATGTGTGTTTTATGGGAGCCAACAAATTAAATGCTATAGCACCATTCCTTTTCGGATATGATATTTCCTCTGTTGGCTATTTAGCATGAACCACATTGCTATTTGGCTGAGGGTATTCTTTAGCAAGCTACATAAGGTTAAATAGCATCTTGTCCTGTAAAATATGGGCATACATTTGATATAAGAATGTTTTATCTCTTTCATCTAATTGCAATTATCAGCAATAATGATGGGTATCCACCTAAAAGTAAATTAGCACATAGAAAAACATATGCAGTCGATCTAAATTATGATACCTTAAAATAACTTCGTAATATGAGTTCCACGCTGAAATGCTATAAGGATGTTTTTTCACCATATTTCGAGCATAATCGAATGCATGCTTTGGATCTGGAGTAATGTATGCTATTTCTGTAGCAAGAGAAATAAAATATGAAAGCAAACATCATTCAGCTAGTTTACAACCATGAATCAGTTAAAATTACAGGCGTGAACTCACGGGCACCCAATGATTGAAGCTCTTCCTTCTTCTCAGAAGATACTCTGTCATTTGGTAACCTTATTAGAAGGTTTATAATCTCCAGTGCTTCGGAATAACGATGCAAGGATACCATAGTTTTGCATAGCTGTGAATGGATATGGTAGGTAAATCAAAACTTCAGAATCCTTTTTACTCGTACGGAATGAGACTTTTTCTTGAAATAAAGAATTGGAAGAAGATGGTAACTTCGAACCAAAATAATCTGTGATTAAGTATCGAAAGAACAACTGCTTTTTTAAAACATGAGACCCGTAAATCAATTAGCATACTACTTGCCTATGGAAGAGAAAATAATACATAATTTCTTTGACGCACTCCAATTAAAATACTCACATCAAGCAAAAGTTGTTGATTTTCTTCATCCTTGAGGAGTCCTGGGAGAGGAAGGTCTTGGATCTCTTTCTGCGAGTTAGATCAAATTAAACACGATGAATGTCAACATCTTAAATCCAGATATAAAAGAAAATGGAAGTATGTAAACGGGTGATTTGGTTTTCAAAACAATATACTTTACCGTTGCATCTTCGTTTGAATCATCACACTGCCAATCCATCCCAGCAGACGGTGCTGCAACGTTTTTCTCGTCACCCAGAGCGGCTTGCTTTTCAAGAGATTTCTTTGCTCTGTTGGCTTTTAGTCTTCATATACCAATAAGGGTAAACATTTCATCAATAATTTTGGTCTTAAAACAGTTTTTTAATGAAAGCAAAAATAATTGATCTTGGACTTCACCGGTTCAAAATTGATAAAAAAAGAGCAAAAGTGGATTTAACTAGCATATCATATGTAACTGGGGTAGAATATGAACTAAGACGAATTACACATGTAAAAGGGTTGAAAATCCACCATAAGATTGATAGATAAAACTAATATCAACATATTAAAATGAAAACAAGTAGAACTAAAACATCATGAATAAAACTTTTGCAAAAAATTTGCACAAAATAGATTAAAACTTAATGCACGAACAAATGGAAAATTATGATTCATAATATACACATAATATCACGACCCGGCCCGGTGAGCTAGTATAGACGAGGCGGGAACAGATGTCAGACGTAAATGATATAACAGAATATGAAATTATCACAAAACATAAATGAAAAAAAATCTAAAACAATTCAAAAGATATATTAAGCGCCTCTAACATAAAAATAAAACATTTCCTATATCAGAGATGTATAAAGGTGGACTAAAAATTTTTGTTTTTCTTTCATGTCATTCCACCCAAAAAATCATACAACAACTAAAAAGATAAACGCAAGAGGAGCCTGTCATCCGGTCTCCTATGACTATATGTGAAACAAGGTCAATCGGCTATTCCTAGCAACGGGGTCTCCTGAAAAGTATCCCAAAGCGAGGGAATGAGCTAACGCTCAGCAGGTGACAACTAACTCTAACAAAGTCATATACCATGATAGAAATTCAGCATAAATGTTTAAAGTAATTTAACTCAGCTATATGATTACGAAATGTCATGAGTTTTCTAAGTGTCACATGCTACAGTTCATATGCATATCTTTGAGGTCATTTCAATTATTTCATATGTCCTTTATATCATAAAATATACTGATATGCTTTCTTATTCTTTAACATATTAAACTGCACCGGAGTACCATAAGTGTACTTATCAGGTACACAAACATATTTTGGCCATATCATCTTTCTTTCCTTTTTTTCCCCGAAGAGTCATATTGCTCCTAAGAGCCGTATTGTGTTAATGCATCATATTTAGTACTCCACCTTCAACATGCACATTTATTCATAGGAATGTAGTGTAGCAATCTCATATCATTCATAAATATTAATTATTTGTATTGTTATGCAAGCTTACATGAAGGGTTGTATTTCATTTCAAAGAACATCTAACATGCATTGCTATCAAAGAAAGAGAACATCTAACATGCATTGTTATCATAGAAAGAAAACTTATAATATGTATTTCTAACAAAGGGAGAGAACATCTAAAATATAAAAAGACGCGTTAGACATTTCAAAGCATAACATAAAGGAATATGAATTGTAGAGTTGAATGTTCCTACCTCAAATGTCACACTCTAGAAGTTGTTGAGTCGTCGTCTAACCTCGCGACGATTCTTTCTTTTCTGCTTTGAAATCCTACAAATAATGCGACTAAATATTACTACATATTAATCTCAACATAAATTCTCTCATTATGGTCATTAATGTTCATTACCATACCCATAACCTAAAGCATTTTTATCATATATTTATTAATGTTCATTAACATACCCATAATCTAATGCATGTTTATCATATATTTTTCTTAATTAAAAGTAATTTAAATGTTATTTTCGGATTTACCTAAATTCCAAATTTTGGAAACATAATTCTTCACTAATTTCATCAAAATTTCATGTTAAAACATCGCTCTTAAATAATTATAAATTTAAGCTATTAAATTTTCGGATTATTAAATTTAATAATTAGGGAAAAATAATATTTTGTTAAAAATTCCCAATTTTCACCATTAGAACCCTCCTAAGGTTATTTGGAATAACTTTAGTTAAGCACTCTTCAAAATTTTCCAATATATGAAAAATCCTAATGTTTGAAACGTAAAATTTCTTGAAGAAAACTTGCATTTTCAAGGATAGAAGTTCTTCACCAAGGTTTTTCTAACATTCTTTTCATAAAGAATTAAAATTAGAGAAACCCTAATTTAAGAAATTTGAAAATCCTTTAATAATATTTCATGTTTTCATGGAGAAAAGCATTTCTTAATATTTCCCTATAACTTTTCTTCTAAGTTTTGAGTTTTGAACAAACCCTAAAAATTTTTCTCCAAAAAAACTAAGGGAAAATAAATTTTTTCTTGCATTAGAAGCTTACCTTCTTCCTCCCTTAGACTTCCTCTTGCATTTCCTCCAAGAAAGTCGTCGGGTACCACCGCTAGCTTTTGCGAGCTCCCCCCTCTCGTTTTCGCCTTCTTTCTCTCTTAGCCGAACGAAATGAACAAGGGACCGAATGTTTTGGTCCCTAGGCGGATGTGGGGAGTTAAGGGAAAATTATAAGGTCAATTATGCATGTGCCCCTTCCTCTAATAAATTTCTTAAGGCTCATGAGTGGTAGTTTGGGCAAAAGATAAAATTTTACTTAAATGAATTTCTACGATTTTTAATTTTCAAATCGTATGAAATTAGGTATACGTTCTATATACCGTTTCGATCGAAATTTCGCATAGAGTTTTATAAAATTTATTGCGTCGAATTTTGACGACTTTGAAATTTCGCCTAAATTCGTCGCGACGCATCGAAATGCGTAAGACGCATAGGAACGACAATTTTCGGGTTTTACAATTCTCCCTTTCTAATAAAAATTTCATCCTCGAAATTGAAAATAAGAGGAAACAAAACAACCTTACTCAAAGAGGTGAGGATAACATTACCTCATTTCAGACTCTTTCTCCCAAGTAGTGTTCTTCTCAGACCCATGCTTTCATAAAACCTTAACAAAAGGTATATCTCTGCTCCTGAGTTCTTTCACACTAAACTCCAAGATACGATCCGATTCTTCTGCAAATGTAAGATCTAGTTGTATATCCACAGGTTCTATTATAATCTTAGAAGGATCATCTGATATAAACTTTCTCAGGGAAAAAACATGAAACATGTTGTGTACAGCATATGTAGTTGGTAAAGCCAATCTGTAGGCTACTTTCCCAATCCTCTCCATAATCTCAAAAGGATCAATGTAGTGGGGACTAAGTTTATCAATCTTGTCAAAACAGAGTACACCCTTCATAAGCCTGATCTTTATAAAGACAAAATCTCTTACATTGAATTCCACAGAGTGGTTCTTAGCATCATAATACTTCTTCTACCTATCTTGTACTGCTAGCAACCTATCCTTGATAATTTTGATCTTATTAGTATCATCATCAACAAAATCTGATCCAATCACCTTCCTTTCATCTGGCTCTGCCCAACATAAATGTGTTATACATTCCCTTTCATAGAGTGCTTCATATGGAGTCATTCCTATGCTGGCTTGGAAGTTATTATTGTAGGCAAACTCTATCAAAGGAATATGAGATTCCCAACCTCCACCAAAATCAAGAACACAATCTTATCAAATCTTTAATGGTTTGAATACTCCGCTCAGATTATCCATTATTCTGAGGATGAAATGTCATACTAAAAGTCAACCTAGTACCAATAGCCTCTTAAACCTTCCTCAAAAGTCTAGAAGTAAATCTACTATCACGATCAGATACTATAGACTTAGGTACACCATATATACCATCACGATCAGATACTATAAACCTAGATACACCATATAAATGAACAATCTTAGCCACATACAGCATTGCTAACTTCTCAACTGAGTTAGTCAGTCGGATAGGAAAAAAATGAGCAGACTTTGTAAGCCTATCAATGTTAACCCAAATAACATCATAACCCTATCAAGATCTGGGTAAACCTGACATAAAATTCATAGCAATGTTATCCCACTTCTACTCTAGAATCGATAATGCTTGAAGTAATCAACCTGGCTTTTCATGCTCAGCCTTTACTAACTGACAAGTAGTCCACTTAGCAACGAAATCAGCTACACTCCTCTTCATCGCAGGCCAAAATAAACCCGTAAGGTCTTAATACATCTTATTACTATGAGGATGAATGGTACAAGCAGAATGATGAGCTTCATAAAGAACATCCATCCTCAAGTCACCAACATTAGGCACATAAACTTTTCCCTTATACCACAAAAGATCATCTTCATCAATAATGAAATCCTCTTTATAACCTGTCTTTACTGATTGAATGATCTTAACAAAATCTGGATCCTTCAACAAAGCTTCAACTATCTTATTCTTCAAATTAGGTTGCACTAACAACTAATCTAACCATCCTATATTTTCAGTTGTAGGAAGTACTACAGACAACTCCAACCGTTCCATCTCTTCAATTAGCTTCTCCCGCTGAGTTAATAAACAATTCAACTTCACTGGCATTTTTCTGCATAACACATCAGCATCAGCATTTGCTCTTCCTAGATGATACTGAATATCCAAATCATAATCATTAAGCAATTCCATCCATCTTCTTTGTTTTAAATTCGGCTCTTTCTAAGTGAAAATATATTTCAGATTCTGGTGATCTGTAAATACTTTACAACGTATACCATATAGATGCCTTCAAATCTTCAAAGCAAAAACTATTGCATCTAGTTCCAAGTTGTGAGTTCGATAGTTCTTATCAATGATTTTTCAATTGCCTAAAGACATAGGCAACTACTCTCTCATGCTGCATCAAGACACATCTCAAACCCTTTAGTGATGCATCACTAAAAATCTGAAAACCTTTAGTACCTAAAGGAATAGTAAGAATCGGTGCAATTATAAAACAAGTCTTCAACTCCTGAAATGCTTCTTCACATTGACTACTCCACTCAAACTTAACTACTTTCTAAGTCAGTTTACTCAATGGTGCAACAATATTGGAGAACCCTTCTACAAATCTTCTATAATAGTCAGTTAACCCAAGAAAACTTCGTATCTCAATCACTGTTGTAGGTCTGGGCCATTCAACTATAACATACACCTATGTTGCATGAATACGCCTATTTACTAGGCATGCTGTATCGGACACGTATCGGATACAGAAATGCCTCC